TATGCAGCAGCTCATTTAATCTTGAAGGCTCCCACGTTTTTTTTTTTTTTTTTTTGGATCTGAACCAAAGTCCATCCTGCAATTTCATTTTGGTTAGCTATGGTATTCTGGATTTTTCTCAGGATCGGATATCCAGAAAAATGCCTTTACTGTTAGAATAGCGAGGCTGTGGAATAGACTGCCTAGGGAAGTTGTGAACTCTCCATCATTGGAGGTGTTCAAGGGGTTGGATAGCCACTGGTCAGGGATGATCTAGGCGTAGTGATGCCTATGTTCTACCATGGGTATTTCCCATGCTTCTGGGCTTTCCCCCTTTTATGCCACATGTATCGGGGGGTTTTTAAGCCTTCCCAGAGGCATTGGGGGCTGGCTACAGTGTGTGACTGGGGTGCGTCAGTGCTGCTCAGGGTTAGACTAATGATCATATTTGGGGTCAGGAAGTTATTTTACCTCATGGTCAAACTGATATGGCCTGTGGGGATGTTTGCCTTCCTCCGTAGCACGGCCTTCTACACAGTATCTCTTGAGCATATATTGGTAACGTTTTATAGAAGCAGGACCTTGGCTGTCCTGGTTCCCCTGCTTTCCCTGTGGCAGGTTAGGGTTTTAGGTCTGCGTTGTGTCAGGGTTGACAGTACTCTTATGCAGAGTTTAGATTATGGATTATATGTGATGGTTCGGATAGGGATGATCCTGCTTCATGCTGGGGGTTGGACAAGTTGATCTCTGGAGGTCCCTTCCAGCCCTACTTCTCTGATTCTGTGAAACCCAAGCATTCATTGTCCTTCATATTTAAAAATAAATGAAAGAATAAGATTGAAAATGGAAGTTTAAATAAATCAATAAATGAATAAGCGAGGTTGGGACTCCTGCCTCTTTGCCTTCTGAACCCTTCCAGGACAATGTGGAATCGCTTGTCAGGCGAGGTGCTTTGAGTAGATGTGATGTCTTTTATGAGCCCAACTGAGCAGTTGGAAAAAAGTTCTCCGCAAGCTTTTGGGCGCAATCGCCCTTCTTCAGGCATAGGGAGTCTCTGCTGTTCACTTGTCAGCTTTTTCTTTGTGCCCATTAATTTCTGTTCCCTCCCCTTCTTTTCCAAAAGCAGATTCTTGGGAAGGCATGACTCCCATGAAGTGTGCCTGCCAAAAAAACTACCAGAAGGCCTAAATTAAACCCGCCAAAACTAGTGATGGCTGCTTCTGCCTGGACTGTTTAATTAGTCTTCAGGCATTTCCTTGGAGCTCACTGCTGGCCTGAGGGAAGCTATGCACCATGCATGAGTCTTTGCTCAGGTCCATCAGGGCCCTGGAGGTTTACTAGGATTAGAAGTGAGCCATTCTCTGCTTGGAGGGGGATCCTGTTGGTGGCTGCTGAGAGATCCTCTTGCAGTGCCAACATCCTTGGAGGTTTTTAAGAGCCGGGTAGACAAAGCCCTGGCTGGGATGGTCCTGCTTGGAGAGCGAGGTAACCTCCGGGGGTCCCCGGTTCCAGCCCTCGTTGTCTGCGGCTCTATGACTACAAAGGAGCGTTTATGAGGCAGTGTCACTGCGTCAGACACGGCCCCGCGGGAAGAAGGTGTCGAGCGCGGCTGGGGAAGAAACTTTGCGAGGGAAGGTTTTAAGGCTTTGACCCACGGGCAAGAAGCGGGGGGAGGAGAGAAAGTAGCCACCCCATCCGAGCGTGCCGGATCTGGCAGCGGCAGCAGCAGGAGGCGGAGGAAGAGGTTGTGAGGCGGCCGCAACCCGGCCCGGCCCAGCGCTGGCAGGGGGGGAGGAGTGAGCAGCGGAGGCCGGGCAGAAAATGGTTGCTCGGGGCTCATCACCGCTGAGGCGCTGCTGCTGAGCGGGGCCCGTGCGACGAGCGGGAGCGGCGGCGCCTGGGTTGGCCTGGCGGGGCCCGGGAGCATGCGGCGGCGGCGGCGCGGGGAGCAGTGAGCGCTGCAGCTGTGAGTCTCGGCGCTTGCTCCCGCCGCGGCTCTGCCGGGGACATGGAGCCCTTCCCCAGCGGTGAGTCGGCGTCCGGGCGGGCAGGAGCGACCCCGGGGCCTGGGGCGCCCGTTTGTTCCCGCGGGCTCTGGGGCCGAACGGG